CAGCGCCCGCCCCGGAGTACACGGACGCAGCTGGAGCGGCCTGGATGCCCCTCTGCCCCAAAATGCCAAAAGGCACTGGGAATGGGATGGGCTGGCTTGGGCTCTGTGGCCTGAAGGGCAGCTTGGAGCAGACACTGGCAGAACCAGAGCACAGCGGGGTTTGTGGCCGCTCTGAGCGTCCCTTTCAGTGCTGCACCACTTTCCTGGAGGAAAAACACCTTTTCCTAAAGGCCAGCCCTAACCTCCTAAGCAGGAATTTCATGGTTCCTCCCCCCGCCCTGTGCTGTCTGGCACCACCAAAAAGGGTTTGTCCTCCTGTAGGTTTCCTTCAAGCCCTTGTGGGCTGCTGTGAGTGCTCCTCTTCACCCAGCTGAGCAAGCACAGCTGTCCCAGCCTCTCTTCACAGGTCACACAAAGCCAAGGGAGCCACAGGCACTTGGGTGGCCCTTTCTTTCTGCCCGCCTCTGTTGGTGGGGTGGCAGGAGGAGAAAGTGGCCACAGTTTTCTCAATGTAGCTCCTCATCTCCTACCAGCTCCTCCCAGCTTCATCAGAGGGTTAATGCAGAATCTTGGCTCGTGGGCTCTCGTAGGTCTTTAAGAAAACTTGAGATGATAAGCTGCCTTTTTAAGTGTTTAACATTTCAGGAGCCAAGAAACATCCCAGTTCAGAAAGCACCATAGCAACAGCACCCTTCAGATCTCTGCAGTCATATTTTCCCTGCACCCCTGCATCAGAGAATTTAAGTGGTATAATTATATCTGTGCAGCTGAAAAACTTGGGACTACTTCTGTTGTATTTTTCTTCAGAGGAAAAAAAAATAGGAGCAATTTTCTCATAAAAAATATGTCTTTATATTTAGATGTGAACGTCAATGAGCTGAATGATCAGCCAACTGTGCTTATTTGGACTGCAGCTTGAGGGCAACTATTGCTGGTTTCTGCAGCTGTGTTGGGGGAACAAGTCCCACCCCACATCACCAGACCCAGGGATGGGCCCTGTGCTCCTCACTCACTTTTGGGCACCTGCAATCCACTGTGCCCTGGTGCTTTGTGCACCCAGGCTCTGTCCCTGGTTCCTCTCCTCGTGGTGCCCAATTCCCCAGCACTGCTCTTTGTCATGTCCAGCCACACTCCCACTGCTGCTGCCTTCAGAGACTCAGTTCTCCAGAACAGAAGCATCTGGAAATGCCAGAAGATGGGACAGTTCTGTAGGCTGCCCTCTTTACCTTCTTTTCTCCCATCCCTCAGCCTAACACACCTATCCAGCAGAATTTATTCCCCTTTGTGTTACCTTTTTTGCCAGTTTGGGGGCTATTTTGGCACGTTTCAGCCAGGCTGAGAGGTGGAACAGATGTGGCAGAGTGTGTGCCCTCTCGTGTTTAGCCTCTGCTGTCCTCACAGGGCTGTGGCAGTGCTGCCTACACCCAGATATCCATGAGCATTGGCTGTGCCCATTCAGGTGTGCTGCTGAGGGAGGCAGTCACCTTGTGCTTTAAACAAGCTGGAGTGCTCCCTGCAATACCCTGGGCTTTGAACAAGGCATGGGGCGGGGTTCTGGAGCTTTCCCTACAAGATGGGTGTTTTTCTGGGCTGGGATCCTGGTGTGTGTCTGAAATTCTGCTTTTGATGGTGCAGCTGTTTGCTGAGCACAAGAAGGGAGCACAGGGTGAAGGATGGTGCACGAGCAGTACCAGGAGAGAAATTTCACTGCTAATGCCCTTCCTCTCAGCCAGCACTCCCCTGCTCTCACAGGGCTGGCTGTGCCAGACAGGCCATGCACTCCTAGAGCAGAGGGAGCACAAAACCACCCAATTCTTCAGGGTTTCCTGCTCTCCTGCACACCCTTGGCTTTCCTGCAACGGCTGCAAGAGCTGCAGCGCTGGAGTCAGCATGCTGGCAGTGCTGGTCAAGACAGCAGTTTATGTGTGTACGGGCACAGGCATCCTGGCCCTGTGGACCCTCCTCCATCCCCTGCAAGGCTGGAATCAATGTCAAATTATATTGCCCAGAGGAATTTGTCTCCTGTGGAGCCATCTGCCTGGAGGAGCTGTTGCAGCTCCATCCCTGACCCAACAAGACCAGGCTGGATGGGTCTATGAGCAACCTGGTCCTGTGGAAGGGGTCCCTGCCCATGGCAGGGGACTTGGAACTTTATGGTCTATAAGGACCCCTCCAAACCAAACCAAACCAAACCAAACCAAACCATTGTCTGATTCTCTGGTGCTCCCAGGCCCGATTTGGTCATCTTTTTAACCTATTATATCACTACTTGCCTTTTTTCTCTTTTTCAAACCCAGCAAGGACTAACGACAGAAGCATCAGATGCTGGAAACAGGAAGTTTGTGTCTCTGTCATAGGGAAGACACCTGTGTGAAAAAGGGCAGAAGGAAAAAGGGAACCCTCAGGGGGCTGGAGGGAGAAGGGATGTGGTGCCTGGAATGGGAGCTCCAACAGCCCAGGGCTGTGATCTCCACCTCAGGGCACACAGCTTGGACCTTTCCCTGCACCCACCAGCTGCCACCCGAGAGGGTCCCCATCTCCTGGTGCACCCAGGCCTGCCTCCATCCCACATCTCTGTCTCTAGGGCCAGTCTGCTCTCAGTTTCAAGAGGTGGCGGAGTTCCAGACCTTCTGCCAGTTCGCCCAGTACCGCTGCCTCAAACAGCAGTTCTTCATCAAGGTGAGGAGCGGGCTGCGGCACGGCTGGGGGGAGCATCTCCTGGCAAACGGGAGGGTGGGGAGCAAGGGAGGATAACCGGTGAGAGTCGTGTTTCCCCTCTCCCCTGCACGCAGCGAGTCTCATGTGCGAGCGAGTCCCTCGCCAGCCCCTCCCCGATGGAGCCCTCCAGCCCGGCGCAGCCCTCGCTGGAGAGCAGAGCCTCCCCTGTCACACCAGGTACGGCTGCCGAGCTGTGCGGGGCTGCCCCGCTGGGCTCCCGCGGCCGCTCTGCCCCCCTGCCCCTCTCTGTCCCGCCGCCAAAGCCGCCCCGGGCCGCTCCATACCGCTGTGTCCCCGCTCAGGAGCAGGCTGTCCTGTTCCCTGCTGCAGGACAGCGTGGCACACCCTCTCAAGTTCTCTCCTGCCCTGTTAGCCCAGGAACCGTGGCCCATGAAGCCCCCCACAGCCACGCCAGAGGTGCCCACGCCCTGGCACAAGAACAGGACCGTGCACACACCAAACCTCTGGGCTGCCACCTCACCCTCCAGGACGGAATCCCCCGACGAACAAAACCTGAGAAAAAGCATCTGGCAGCTGATCCATTCGGCCCTCTCCTTGGATGCCTCCTTGGACAACAAGGCCTCCTCTTGGAACTCCACCAGCTCAGGCCCAGGATACGCATCAGAGCAGGCAACTCCCCCCCGAGGCAGGTGAGGGGCACTCTGTCCTTTCTGGGTACCTCACACCACCCGTGCAGGGCTGTGCTCCTGCACACCAGGCAGCAGCCCCAGGGCATCCATGTCCCTGCTCGGAGCAGCTGGTGAGGGCGGGCAAGTGTTCTGGAGCAAGCTGTCCCATCCAGAGCAGGAATGTTCCTGGGGAGCCCCCAGGCACCCCTTGCTCCAGCACAAAATGAGCAGGGACAGGGTGATCCAGCACTGTTAGTGCCTGAAAATGGCACTGTCCTCACATCCTGAGCAGAGTAGGTTTAGTCTGGGCCTGAGCTGCAGGCAGGGCTTTGTGCCATGCCTGTTTCCCCCCATTGTGGCCACCTGCACTGTGCAATCACCTCTACACTCATCCGCCCCCAAACATGTGTCCCAGGAGTCTGGGTGATGTGCAGAAACAGCGTCCTTGCACACACAGGTCCTTGGGATGTGTCTCACTGTGCTCCTTGCCTCTTGGTGTGCAAGGCAAAGCAGATGTTTCTCAAAGCAGCCTGGCCTGAGGAGCCCTCCCAGGAGCACTCTGTCCTCACCCAAGGGAGCTACAGCAGCCCTGGGCCAGGAAACAGCCGGGAGCTGGGCAGGACCACTCCTTCTCCTGGAGCACGTGCACCTCTGTGCACTCTGGATGTGTGCCCAGCTCTTCCTGGGGTGTTCCTGGTTCCCCATTCTGTGCACACTCTGGATGTGGGCCCAGCTCTTCCTGGGGTGTTCCTGGTTCCCCTTCTGTGTGCACTCTGGATGTGTGCCCAGCTCTTCCTGGGGTGCTCCTGGTTCCCCATTCTGTGCACACTCTGGATGTGGGCCCAGCTCTTCCTGGGATGTTCCTGGTTCCCCATTCTGTGCACACTCTGGATGTGTGCCCAGCTCTTCCTAGGATGGTGTTCCTGGTTCCCCATTCTGGTTTTGGAGGCAGCACCACAGCAGTTCAGCACAGGGCCCTGCCCCAGGCCAGCTTTTCACAGGTGCAGCTGTTTCACACACCCTCCTCAGCTCCTCTGGCTACAGATGTGTGAGGAGCTCATGGAGCATGTTGAGCTCTTCTCAGTTGGTCTGCCAGGATCTGTTTGCCTCTGTCCTCAGGTACCTAGGGCTGAGGACAAAGAAAAGACCTGCAAAAGGATATTATACGTTCACTCAAAGTCACTTTTTGATCCTTTGGTACCTTGTGGCTGAGGACCATTTGCTTTGAATGACTTTCACATATTATTTTGCTTACTAAGAGGAAAAAAAAAAAGGTGTCTAGATGTGGTTTTCATGGAGAAGTCATTTTGGTTTCGTGCTCTTGCAGGCCAGAGATGTTCCTGTAAGTGCACAGATTTCGTGCCTCATTGCACATCTGTGGTTTCTCTTGAGCAGGCTGCACACCACTGCCTCAGTGCAGCCAGAGATTCACTTCTGCATGTAAAGATGAATTGCATCGTGTTGTTAAAGCCATAACTGTCTCCTTGCAAGCCTCTAACACGTGTCATCCTCCCTCCTAATATCATAGGAGGCTTTCACAGCCTGGAAAAAGTTTTCCTGGTGTATGTGCTCTCAGGCAAAATGGTGTTTCATTGAGGATTTCATTCTCCCTGCATCTGAAACTGAGCCTTGCTGTGACTGAGTTCTGTTGGGATTACTGGGGGACTGCTGTGATGGCAGATGACACTCGCTGCTCTGCTGCAGAGCCTCTCAAAGCCACTAATGCTGACTGTGTGTCTGTGACTGGCAGCCGAGCCCCATCAATCATGCTAAGCAAGGCTTAAAGCCCCACTGAAGGATAAAAAGGCGAGAGAGACCCTGCCTGTCAGCTTTGCAGCTTGCCGCATCCCGCCTCCTCTCACGGGGACTTCAAAGCATGACCTAAAAAAGGGGCAGAATGCCTGGAGGCACTTCCATTCCAGCAAGGGGAGCAGTGCTGGGTGGGACTGGTCGTTGTGCACAGGTGCCATTCAGCGTCTGGTTTTACACAAGGTGGACAGGACTGTGCTGGGCACAGATCCCAGAGCTGCGTGTCTTCCCTAGGGTCTTATGCCCAGCAGGACATCCATCCTTATTATCCATCCCCTGTGGCTTGTGGCAGCTGCTCTGGCCGCTATTGCAGTTTCATAGTTCCTGATGAGGCCAGCTGTGATCTTTAGAGGGGGACAGGGCAGGGGTAGTAACGCAAGAAGAATCTGCAGCACTTTCCTGTGGTCTTTCTGGTAGCAGTGAATCATTCATTGCGCAGGAAGGGGAAATGAAAATTATGGCACCTATTCGCTATTTTTAGTCCTTATTGTGCTTTCTGCCTTATTTCCTAGTATTTCCTCTCCTCAGAATTACCTCTAAACCGTGACTCAGTCTTGCAACAAGCTAAAGAGAGCTCTGTAGCCCTTACCTTGTAAAGCCCATGCAACTCTCATTTTCTGCAGCAGCTTTCAGTGTCCCTTTGAAACAGGCCCATGTTCCAGCTCTGGGTGCACTACCCAGTGATGGGATTTGGGTACATGGAAAGACATCAGCCTCCCTTCCCTGCTTTTCTGTATGCAGGAAGAATTGCATTTTCCCTTTTTCCCAGAGCTTTCCCAGAGTTGTGTCATTTGTCAGCTACAACCCCTGCACCCCTTTCTGCATCACAGCTGTCCTGGATCCAGATCTCATTCTGTTGGTATTCACAGGTGGATGCTCACCTGTGGTTCACGTGAGCCCAGCTTCCCAACAAGGCTGCCCCGAGCCCTCTCAGAATCCCAGAACTGTTAGGGCTGGAGATCATTCTGTCCGAGGAAGGGTCACCTGGAGCAGGTGACACAGGACCCTGTCCAGGTGGGTTTTGATTGTCTTGAGACGGAGACTCCATCACCTCCCTGGACAGCCTGTTCCAGTGTTCTGCCACCCTCAATATAAAGAAGTTCTTCCTGATGTTGAGGTGGAACTCTTTGTGTTTTAGTTTATGGCCGCTTCTCATCCTGTGGCCAGGAACCACTGAAGAGAGTCTGACACCATTCTCTTGACACCCACCCTTGAGATACTTGTGTGCAGTGGGAGATACACACACTCCTGGTGACTCCCCTCCTCCTCCTGCTGCTGTACCCCTCCAAACAGTCCTTGTGGTGCTTATCTACTTCAGCCCCAGAGGCTTTCATTTTAAGGCCGGACCCTTCATTAAAAATACCATCCCCAGGAAAAAAAAAAAAAAACTCTCTTTCAATTATCATTACCCATAACCAGCCCTGGCATGCAGTCAAAGATCTTTTTTCTCTTTCTGAAGCTGTTAAGAGTGGCTTTTTCATAACTGGTTTTAGTTTCCTGCAGCAAGCCCCCCAAATCAGAATTTACCAGGTGCTGGAAAGCTGCTGTTCTCTCCTTATCTCCTTTTCTGCTCGCCTCAGGTGCTCCCTGCACCTCAGCCAGCCAGTATCAGGCAGGCTCAGCAGCCGAAAGCTAATGGCCCAAATCCTTGTCATTACGCGGCGGGAGAGGCGGGTGCTGCTCACCAGCACTCCTCAGAGATACCACTGAAGCAGGCTCTGCGTGTCCTTCCACATCCTGAGATGCTCAAGTATGATAAGCTGCTACCTGAAGTTCTCTCTTTTGCCTTGGATCAACTTCTGATCTCGGCCCACAGGTTCTTCTTAATCCTGCTTTGGGTTTTTTCCACGTTCCCTTTGGATCTTTGCCTCACAGTACCCGTTAGGCTTTTTCCAGGGCCGTGGTTAGGACAATAACATGCAGAGGTGCTAATCCGGGGAGGGATTTGCATTAGGAACTCACTTTAGATAGAGCCATCCCTTTCCCTGAAGCATGGTGAAACCTCTGTGCATCCACAAACAGCTCAGCAGCATGTCAGCGAGAGGAGAGAACCAGCAGCAGTGCTGTTATACTCACCCAGAGGTGGTAAATCAGCTCATAAATTTGCAACTGTGAGGCCAGAAAACCTCACAGCAGAGATGGAGAGCAGAGATAGAGGTGGAAAAGAATGTGACAGAGAGCACAGCAGAATTTCTTGGTAAACTTAGGCAGTGTGGCACAACTCAGTTTTCTGTGAAGCTCATCATTTTTAACATTCAGGTTTAGGAATTGCCCTGCTCAGCACAGGACATGAAGTCATGTCTGGTGAGCCCCAAAGAAAACAACAGTGCTATGTGGTTGAGCCACAGGCTCCTCTCCCAATAGTAGTTTGGGATATCTTTTTGAAGTCTCTGAGCTGTGGAGGAAGCACCCATCAGCTGCTCCCATGCTAAACACCCTTGGTGTCAGGAAGATGTAGTTTCCTTCTGGTTTGAATGGATCACGCTCCAGATTCCAGTCACCAAAAGTCATTTGGTTTGAATGGATCTTGCCCCAAATTCCAGTCACTCTTCCACCTCCTGACAAGGAGAGCTTTCCAGCTGAAGCTCTCCTCCGTAGAAGGGCAGACTGACTGAGTGGGAAACCACTGGTGTCTTTGCTTAACTGAGGGATGCTTTCCTACCTTCTACCTCTAGGTGAAACTTTTCCAGGCCTTAGGAAATCTCGTCTTCATGACCTTCCTTCACGTTCTTTACCTCTTCTTAATTTTTTTTTAATGCTAATCTGCAGGTCTCCATGAAGTTTCAAATATTCTCAGGAAAACCTGTCCACACATGTTAGCCCGTGCATGCATTTTAAGAGCATTTTAATATAAGCAGTTGCTGCTCTTCTTTGCTCTCTGTCAGATCAAAGTTTGTTTATTTATCACTGGCTTTGTCTCCAGACACAAGAGGCAAATATCTAATGAGCATGTTTACCTCTTCTGCATCATTGATGATGATTGAAACCAACCATCCCTGTCTGCTAACAGTCCTGTACCATGTTTACAAATTCCATTGTTCCTAAGAGATGCCAAATATTCTCATTGCTCTGATCCCATTGTCCTTACATTTTCTACTTTTAGCTATCCATGTCAGTTTGGATGAACAGTAAATTCATGGTTAACAAGTTTTTCCCCCTTTCTGTCAAATACTTGGGAGGAGGCTTAATATGTGACATCCCCAGACCCAAGTGGGGCTGCCCAATGTTCAACACTCAGCAGACATCTAACAAACATCTCCTCACTGTGCACTCAGATGGATGAAATTACGCAGCAGCTGCTGCAGGGGCCCTGGGAAAGCTCTTTGAGCTGTGCCCCTCATCCAGTGCCTCTCACATGCCCTCAAATGCACAGCAACCCCCCTGCAGCCTCTGTGTCACACAGGCACGTGCAGACCCTGCAGAGAGCCCCATTCCTCTGTGCAGTTTAGCCAAGAGCCCAAGGTTTCTTTGGGAAGGGATTTTTTACTTTGTTTTGGGGTTGTTTTCAGTTTCTAACAAAAGATGCATCTCTTCAGTTTGTGGCAAGGAATGACTCCCTCCTTCCCTTTCTCTGTCAGCCTTCTAGCCCTGCGGAACGATGAGGCAGTGCTGGTCCTGTGCTACGCAGTGCTGGAGGGAAATTGCCTCTCGTCAATGATCACCACGGCCTGGAAGGAGATGGAAAAAAGAGTCCTTGGGTTCGGAGACTCGGTAAAGACACCAGTGTCCACCTCTGGCCCCCACTGTGCGCAGGCCGCCTCCTGAGAGAAGCTGACCTGGCTGGCCAGGGCGGCAGGAACATGGGAACTCCTCAGCCTCCTCTGTGGGGAGGGTCTCAGTGTCCTTTTCCCCCCGACTCCCCAGGTGTGTGACAACCTCGGACGGCACCACACGGACCTGTGCCCCGACTGCGCCTTCTGCTCGCTGAAGAGGGAGCAGTGCCAGAACATCGAGAGCCTGAACCGCGTGCCCTGCGACTCGGGCGCCTTCTCCCCCTACATCAACCCCGAGATCTCCGCCCAGCACGGCTACACCCAGGCCCAGGTGCCAGCTCTGCCTCCTGCTGCTCTCTTCCTGGACTGGGAGCTGGGCAGGGGCAGAAAGAAGCATGGCTCACTTTATCCCACCCTTTGCAGTCCACGTCCTCGCAGAGCCTGAGTGACGACAACATGAACTTTCTGAGAGGGATGAGGATGGAGTACTGGTGCAGCCGGATGGCCATCTATGGCTGTAACGACCCTGCTGTGACCCTCTGGCTGAAGGCAGAGTATGAAACCTTCCCAGACATGGATAGCTCAGGAAAGGTGGGTGACCATCAGTGGATGCTCCCATCCCTCCTTCTCCTCTTCTTTCTCTGACGTCCATTCCCTTGTCACCAGATCTGTGACTCGAGCGGGGTTCAGCACCCCAACTTCTGCATGTTCAAGAGCTACCAGTGCCTCCTGAACAGCATCTACAACGAGAGGGTGAGAAGCAGCTATGCTGCCTTTTGCACAATCTGCTCTCCATGGCTGGCCCCCCCACAGCCAGCCCCAAGCCCCTGCTGGCCTCACTGGCCCACCGCTTTTCCTTCAAGGAGGACACAATGGGGTGTGCTTGGGGGAGGTGGGGAGACAAACAGTGGCCCAGCACAACTGGGGTGTCATTGCTGGGTGGGATTTGCACGGGTGATGTGAGAGATGATATCCCTTTATATCTCTGAAGGGCAGGATCTCCTCCATCTGCTAAGCAGTAGCAAAACCCCAAATCACCAGAGCAGGCCAGAGGACTGGCCTGTATCCTAGCAAACACACAGTGCAGCTGTCAGTTCAGCTGGTCGCCCCCCCTTCCCCCTGGTGCCCTCATCATCCCAGCCTCCAGGTGCCATCCACCACGGAGATCTCTTTCCTTGGGGAAGGATGGACAGTAGTAGCCCCCCTACAAACCCAGGCACTTCATGCAGCCTCCGTGCCATCCACCATAGAGATCTCTTTCCCTGGGGAAGGAAGGGCAGTGGCAGCAGCCCCACGAACCTGGGCTCTTCTTGGTTCTCCAGGTGGTTCGTGTGAAGTGCAGCCGTAACATGGCCTACCGGGTGCTGAGTGCCAAGGAGGGAGAAAAGGAGGTGAAGCTGTGGCAAGAGAGGTTCCAAAGCCTCACCAGGAAGCAACCACAAAAATGATTAAAGTTTGTAAAGACCTTCAAGATAGTCAAGGCCTATGACCAAATACCACCATGCCCTCTAAACCATATCACAAAGTACCACAACCACTTGTTATTTGAACACTTCCAGGGCTGGTGATTCCACCACTTCCCTGGGGAGCCTGTTCCAATGCCTGACCACCCTTTCAATGAAGAAATTTTTTTCCTAATATCTGCCTGAACCTCCCCTGGTGCAGCTTGGAGGTATTTCTTCTTGTCCTATCACTGGTTTCCTGGGAGAAGAGACCAATTCCCACCTGGCTGCAGCCTCCTTTCAGGGACTTACAGAGGGTGATCAGGGCTCCCCTGAGCCTCCTTTTCTCTAGGCTAAACAACCCCAGCTCCTTTTGCCATTCCAGACCCTCCACAGGCTTTGTTGCCCTTCTCTGGACACACTCCAGAGCAGATTGTGCAAAACACACCTCAGTGTCTTTCTGGCAGTGAAGAGCCCAGAAATGGACACAGCACTCCAAGTGTGGCCTCACCAGTGCAGAATACAAGAGGACAATCCCTGCCCTGCTCCTCCTGGCCACACTATGGCTGATCCAGGTCAGGTACCATTGGCCCTTTTGGCCACCAGAGCACAGCTGGCTCATGTTCAGCTGCTGTCACCAGCACCCCCAAGTCCTTTTCCTCTAGGCAGCTTCACAGCCACTCTGCCCCAGCCTGTGCTGCTGCCTGGGGTTGTTCAGACTGACAAGCAGAATCTGGAACTTGGCCTTATTGAACCTCACACTTTTGGCCCCAGCCCATCAATCCAGCCTATACAGATCCTCTGCGGAGCCTTCCTGCCCCCCAGCACACCAACACTCCCACCCTGGTGTCATCCAGGAACTTACCCTCGATCCCTTCATCCAGACCACTGACAAAGGTTTTACACAGGACTGGCCCCAGTATGGAGCCCTGGGGAGCCCCACTGGTGACCAGCTGGATGTAAATCCACCCAGCACCACTCTCTGGGTCACACAGCCAGTTTTTAGCTCAGCAAAGAATGCACCTGCTCAGGCCGTGGGCTGCCAGCTTCTCCAGGAGAATGCTGTGGGAAGTGGTGCCAAAGGCTTTCTGAAGTCCAGGTAGAAGATAGCATGCACAGCCTTTCCCTCATCCCTAGGCAGGTAACCTGGTCATAAAAGGAGACCAGCTTGGCCAAGCAGGACCTGCCTTTTACGAACCCATGCAGGCTAGGGCCGATTCCCTGGCTGTGCTGCGTGATTGCACTTAGGATAACTCGTTCCATAACATTCTCTGGCACTGAGATCAGACTGAATGAGGGGAGCCTCACTGTGGCAGCTGCTGGAACTCCTCCTGGAAACATTTCTCCAGGCAAAGGAAAAGGCATGTCCAGAGACTGGGGAGGGACCAGAGACAGGGACTCCCCAGATCCCAAACGCAGCATGTGAGCAAGAAGCTTTTGTGTGCACTTTGCTTTCCACTTCGGCTGGGTTTTTTTCCCCAAGTTTCGTGGTTTATTTGGCCTGTGTCCTCCAACCCTCCACCCGGAAAAATAATTCAAACCACACCAGCCTACGGCGACCGGCGGGAGGCTGCGGGGGGAGCACACGGGAGCTGATGGCAGCCCCGGGCATCGACCCTGAGGGACTCACCGGGGCACCTCCCCGGGCTGCCGGCCCTGCCTGCACTTGACGGGGCAGCAGCAGCGGAATTGCAGCTGCAGCGCTCCCGCACCTCGGCCGGGCCGGCCCTGCTCGCAGCCGTCCCTGGCCGGCCATGTCCCCTCGCACTGTGGGCCCGAGGTGCCGAGGGTGCCGTGCCCAGGGTCCCCTGGCACAAGTCCGGGCTGGCCCGCAGGTGGAGCAGGCCGTGAGCCGTGCAGGGCTTGAAGCGAGAGCTCCCGGGCACCAGGAGCTGGCGGGAACCCGCCCGCGTTAGGAAAACCTCTGCTGCCCCCTCAGGCTTTTCCTTGAGGACGTTGCCCACGCGGCGGAAGGGAGGCAGGAGCTTCCAGCAGGCTCGCACCTGGCAGGAGCCCCACACACCATGGCACTTGCACTCCATCTTCATGTGGGCCAGGAGAGCCTGTGGAGCAGGAGGCAGCTGCCAGCCTGACCAGGGACACCGTTCCCAACACCCCCAATGTGCTGTTGTTCCCCCAACAATCTGCCCATGGGGCTGGAGATCAGGGGCGGGAAGGGGAAGAGAAAGGGCAAAAGTGTATTTTTAATTCAGGCCAATATGAACAGAACGAGATGCACTCTGTGGGAAACAAGATGGTTTGGGTCTGTAAGAGAAATCCCTGAGGCAGAGAGAGGGATGGAGAGCTGTTCTGGCCTGTGGGGCTGTGGGGAGGGGAACAGATCTGGCCAGAGGTGGAGGACATTCAAGGGACCAGATCTGACTGTGGCCCCTGCAGATGTCTGTCTTTATTGAAGAGAGGCTGGAGGGGCAGGGAAGCCCTTCAGAACACAACAGAGTAATAATTTCCTGAATCATAGCTGGGGTCTGTGCAGAAAAGGAAACTGCACACAATTGAGTAGGAAAGGCTGGGACACCCCTCCACACAGACAGGAGCTGGCTCAGGGTAATCAGCACAGTGCTTGGATAAGAAAGGCAGCAGGATGCAGACTCCTCTGGCTGCTCTGAAGCGCCTGTTGAGGTGTGGGGGCTGCACTGAGCTGTACCGAGCCAGGGAGAAGCTCTTGCAGCCAGGCTGGCTCCCAGCCCTTGCTCCTGCCCTTACCTTCCCCCAGCCTCATTGTTGTGCAGGTCCATGAGCGCTCGGCTGGAGGAGACACCACGGCTCCTCTCAGGGCTGCCCACAAAGGCCTGAGAGAAGGCAGTCCCATAACACGGGTTATCAGAGCTGGAAACCTGCAGAGGGAAGGTGGCCTTGTGACAAGGAAAGAGAAGCCCTGAGAGGATCTCCCAAAGACCTGTGGAGAATGAAAGTGTCTCTTTTCTGGCCTGTCTCCCCCATTGACCTTCCCCTCTGCCACCCCCTTCTTCCTTCACCACCAGGGCTGACTCCTCGGACCCTGGGGTCGCAGCCACACCACCATGGGGGATGATGTGATCCCTGTGCAGCTCCCCCCAGCTGCAGGCACGGCTCACAGCAAAAGCAGTGCCGGCAGCGCTGGATGTAAGGGGACTCCCGTGTGCCTGCAGCGGGACAAGCAATGGCACCAGTCTGCAGAGGGCAAAGGCACTGATGGGGCAGAGTGTGGGAAAAGAGGCTGTCACTGCATGCAGGAAGGATGCCTTCAGATGGAGACTGCCTCTGGGGCAGGGTGGGTGGCAGGGTCAGGGAGAAATTTACCAGTCTGCTGGTCAATTTACCAGAGCTGGTACCCAGGATGGTCCAATGGGTCCAAAAAGCAAATCTGGCCAAATGGGAAGAATTTTCTCTGGAATGCTAACGTGGAAGAAGGCGCTGGCCACTCTGTGGATGGGTCCAGTGCAACACTAGCCCAGGAAAGGCCGATGTGTCAAGGGTACAGTGGGCATACTGGAGGGACACCATGCCAAGCCTGCCCTCACTGACCTTGGATGGTGGCCTTGCCAAAGACCTGCAGCCCCTGCAAGGTGAAGCAGTTCCAGTGAAACTGGCACTGGCACTCAAGGACAGCCAGATCCACGCCTCACTTCACCACCTCCATGGCTTCACCGCCTTCATGGCTTCACCGCCTCCGTGGCTTCACCACCTCTATGGCTTCACTGCCTTCATGGCTTCACTGCCTCCATGGCTTCACCACCTTCATGGCTTCCACCTGCTACTGGCAAACACAGACCTGCTCTTCCTCCAGCCCTGTCAGGCCACCACAGCCCCTCGGGTCCCAGAGGACTGCCTGCAGGGAAGTCTGCTGGACCAGGGACCTATGGGGCAGGGCAGAGGTTCAGTTGCAGATGGGCTAGAGCCAGAGCCTCACCTCTGCAGGACTAACCCTCTCTAGCCATATCTTAGAGCAGAAATGGGGCAGGGAAGGGGGCTGTAGCCATGTTGTCTGTGAATTGAGCATTCTTGCTGCCCATTCTGCTCTGCACCTCTTCAGCCTTATCATCTCTCTCCCTTCATGGTCCCAGAGACGGCCCTTCTGCTTTTTGGTTGCCCAGATTCCTTCTTCCACCCTGTTCTCACCCTGTTTTCTTTGGAGACAGCAGCTCCCTAGGTGGCTTTCCAACCCAGACAATCCAAGCACAGAGCATACTGACAGCCAGGCCATGGCAGCGACATGCTGCACATGGATCAGCATCATGTACAGCCACACCAGCTCCATCCTGTCCCTGCCAAAACTTCACCACCTTCAACTCCAGTGCTGCAGCTCCTGAATCCCCTCCTGTGGCTTTCCACAGCCTCTGCCCAGCAGTGGCTTTCACAGCAGCCCCAGCCCAGCACTGCAAAGCAGGGGTAGCCCCAGCCCTGGGCAGTGACCGTGGGCTGTCCAGGTGTGCCTGCCAGCATCTGAGACCCTGTAGCCTGCAGAGCCCTGCTGGGTTGGCCTGAGAGGTCATCCACACCTGTGCTACAGCTTGGGCAGCATGGTGGGAGAGCTCTGAGCTGGGGCTCTGGGGTGGGCATCCATCACAGGGAGCTCACATGGGTGGGGACAGCATCTGTGTCACACATGTGGCCTGTGCCATCCTGTCAGGAGATAATGTGGTTATCTTCCTCCAGGGTCCAGTCACTTCTTCAGCAGGAGGCAGCCCAAGACCAGCTCAGCAGCAGACAGAGCCTTCTGCACAAGAAGAGCCAGAAGCACCAAGCAGCTGTTGCCAAACCCACCAGCTCGTCACTGCTTTGTCACCAAACCTTTTGGGGACACAGAGAGTTCCCCTGCAGTGACAGCTCCTGGGAGCAGAGAGAAGAAGATCTCCTGCCTCCCTCATCCACATCCACCGTTCTTGAAGACACTCCCTCATCTGCCTCCTCCAGGCTGGAGGTTGTTCTTTTCTACCCTGCAGCCCACACAGCTACAGCAAACAGACACAGCCCAGCTGCTCCCTGCCTCTCTTAACTCTTTCCCTGGCAAGTCTCCCTTCACCTCCCTCATTTTCTTCCCCGTGGACTGTC